TGGATCAGGTGACCCAAAATCCTCCCTTAGTTATACTGCAATAGGTCTAGGCTGCTCAAGGATTCCACCGATGCATTGTGTGTTTCTTCGTCACTCATCTTTTTTGCTTACTATGTGTTAATACACCTCTCTGGATTTAATTATTAATCTCTGGCTCACTTCCACAGCATTTCTTCATCCACTCACTCCCAAACCGGCATTGAATGTTGATAGCTTGTAGGGCAAGGGTTACCTGGAAAGTCATGAAGAGGCATACTGGGGTTGCAGTGATGTCCAATACAGATCATCACAGCTTCAAAACTGTGTTGCTCCTTGTTGCCATCCTTGTTCTCCGTTTCAACAACCCACTCGCCTGAATGAGAAAAATCTGATTTCTGCTTCACCTGCAAGACTTTGGTCTGGACAACAGAAAGACAGACACAGGGCACAGAACAAAGTATTTTTTTCTATGAAATTAATGTTGTAGTAATTAGGATTTAACTTTATTTATTTTTTAATTATGTGATACAATTTACCATTTCAGACATCATAAAGCATTCTTACATTAAAGCGTATGTGCTTGGTGAGCTGGAAGTGGTCAGCATACAGCCGAAAGTAGTCCACGATGAGGGAGTTGTGCATGAAGTTTGGGAAGTGTGCAGGGATGGGAAAGTCACTGAAACACGTCATCTCCTTTGAGCTGTTGATGATGACAGAGTGGTAGATGCTGGCCCTGTCTGGCTCTGGATTCTCCTAAAGGGGGAAAAATTTTAAAAAAGATAATTGAGCTGAAGCACCATTACTCTTTCAATGCTCGTCATAGGCTTGAGCACAGTTTTATTACATTTGTAGTTCATTTATATCTATGTTATTATACATCTACTGCAAATATTGTACTTTGTTTTTCACGCCATTTATTTTAGAGTATAAATCTATATAGTCTGCTGTATTATTGATAAAACTACTTTATAGTGCATAAGTTGACATATACTTCATATAACACTTGCTGTTGGAGACTTAATTACTTCAATAATATCTACAGTATTGTGCAAAAATCTTGAGCCATCCATTTATATTTTGCTTGAAAGGAACCAGACATAATTTTATAGTGGTCTTGAGTGCTGCTTCTCCAGGCTTTCTGGAGGTTTTTGAGATTTTCTTTAGACATTGGCTGTCTTTTCAGTCAGTTTTAGTTTGGCTCTTGTACCTGATGATTTTCAAAATGAAAATTTAAAATTGAGATGCTGAGATGTTCTGCTGTGTGAAGTGTAATTTTAAAAATTTATGGCAGCAACACTACTCAAAAAAAGTTGTAGCGCTTTTATACCTTTCCACATTGATTAGGTTTGCCAGATGGTCCCTCACATTTTT